AACTGGTACGATGAGGAGTGTCAAGAAGCTGCAGAGAAAAAAGATGCAACTTGCAGGACATCAAACCTCTAGCGATACCGGCAGAACTATACCTCGCTCAATATCGTGCTTGGCGACAATGCCAGGTAGGCAAGGGATCTTTGAAACCACCGTCGGAAAAGTCAGCCTACCCGACGAAACGTCCGCTGACGGACTCAGGCTGATAGACTTCGCCGGTAGTTCAAGCAGAAAAAGATCCATCAGGCTACGTGGCTGTCTCCAGATTGAAAAACCAGAAACCAAATCGATCATGTTGTCATAGACGGAGGGCACTCTTCTAACATTTTAGACGTACGTAAACTCCGAGGCCCAAGCATCGACTCGGACCACTATCTTGTTGCAGCCAAGATACGCACCCGCCTCTGTGCAGCAAAAAATGTGCGTCCAAATATGCAAGGAAAGCTTAACTTCGAAAAGCTGCAATCACAACCGACAGCCAGTGCTTTTGCTACTCGACTCTCGCACCTGCTCTCAAAGAGCACTCTTCAACAAACCGACATATGCGAGCAGTGGAACCATATTTCCCGCTCATTAAGTAACGCCGCCGAAGAAGTAGTCGGATTTCAGCGAGCCCGAAAGAACAACTGGTACGATGAGGAGTGTCAAGAAGCTGCAGAGAAAAAAGATGCCACTTGCAGGACATCAAACCTCTAGCGATACCGGCAGAACTATACCTCGCGATGGAAAGTCTAAGCCGGGGGAGAAGCTACGGACCGCCCATCTCTCTATACCCACCCGGGCATAGCAGAGGACTACTCCCGCGAGTAAAACTCCGACGACCGCGGCAAACGACTTTCATCGGCGCCCTGGCTGCTCCAATGCATAAAAAATAATTCTGCCCTCCGTCAGGGCTCAGCGCAACCGAAGGGCAGCCCCTAAGGTCATTAAAAGAGTGGGTGTCAGTAAATATGACCAGCTGACGGAGGAGCAAAAAGCCTCCTTCTAGTGGGCAATGGGAGTCTTCGTCGCCAGCGACAAGCGATCCTCCGGGAAAGGCGGGAAGGACAAACCACCCACTAAGGCAAACTCACGGATGTACCTAGCCCCCAAGAGACAACGATCTCAGGACGACACCCCGAGTGGATCCTAAAGGCAAAGGGCTCCCATCACTTCTAACCGTCCGACCATGGCCGTGTCTACCACGAAGCCAATCAGCGAGGCCGCCAAAGAGCACCTCACAATGGCGGTGACGGACAAGGGCCATCCGGACGGCCACATTAGCACGGACAATTGTAAGTTCGCAGTGATGGGTCTATGCAGGGTATATAAAGGGATACTCCAAAAGTATCCCGGCCCTACACCAGTCATCCGTGATGCTGGGTGGCATCAGAGGCGGGTAAAGCCATGTAGAGTGTGCAGATGAACGGGCGGTCCAGCTCTAATGGGAAGCGAACTCCAGGGTTGGACAGCTTTGGCTCGGGGCAGACTTAGTTGCCGTCCATAGGGATGAAGTCCCTAACAGGCCGCGAGCCTGGGCCTGCGTTCCAGCTGAGGCGTGAGAGATTCTGGAATTTATCAGACTAGGCAACGAAGGGCTGCCCACCAGTGATTGGAGCATAGTCCGAGTTGGCGAGACCAAGGAGAAGCTGTGTTATGTTGGCTTTGTCATCAACGATGCTTACGTCCCAGTTCTCCAGGGTTGTGGTGAGGTAATAAGCTACGGCTTTTCAACTGCAGTTAATTCTCGAGATAATTTCGAATTATTCTATCTATTCTTTGAAGTGACTGTTTGACAGATCAACCAGGGCTTTTGGGAAGCAATTTTTGTTTTGTAGTATTTTCCATAACATCCCACTATCTTGTGTCGGAAATAGCAGAAATCCTAAGTCAATACAGTTAGTGGATGAAATTCATTAATTTTATTCGCTTGTTATTTTTTTAAATTTATTTTTATTATTTTATCATACGAAATGTTAAGTCAATACAGTGAGTGGATGACATTCATTCATTTTATTCGCTTGTTATTTTTTTTTTAAATTTATTTTTATTATTTTATCATACAGTTTAGTATAAAAATATCGGACCCTCGGCAACACTGAAGTTTACGAGGTCGTTTGCGCATCAAATTTGCTTCGTGATTTTACGAGGGGCTCGTAAATAGAGCTCCACACAAATTTTGACAGTTCTTTTACGAGGCTCGTAAATTTACGAGGTCTATGAGGTGGAGAGTTTCGGAAACGCTGGCTCTCACAACATCGAACAGCAACAGCACACCTGTCATTACAATTCCTCTTCCTATTTTTCTTTAAGTAATATTGTTTTACTTTCTCTACCAGTCTGCAGAATTGACGATTCGCGGTCAATCAAGACACAGTTTTTTTTGTTTTCTCGCCAACTCAGTTTTGTTGATAACTCAGCGCTAATTCTATTGTCAACAAGTTTAGTTGTTAAATATAGGGATATTTTGTCGTCTCGCTACTTTATGTACAATTTGTTTAATAAATGGATTGAATTGAACACCTGAATTTAACTTAATTCGTCATTGCACAGAGTTGCACAAACATTTTGGTGGCCCATAAGGGGATCTCTTCAATTTCCAGTTGACGACAAGAAAGCTTCCAACAATCAGTACTCGCAGCGATCGGTAGCCGATATATATAAAACGCAGCAGTGCCCGGACAGTTAAATCGGCAAAGGAAAAAAAAGGTAGGTGGGTGCAATTTCGTTTGGTTGTTCAACTTATTGAGGTTATCACAGAGGCACCAAAATGCCCAGCGAAGACCTCATTAGGGTACAGGTTAATCGCGTAGACGAGCTAAAGAAGCTGCTCACCAATTTTCGAAAGGGCAGCACAGTTCGTAAAACAAAAACCTAATTTGCACAACGGTTGAAGAGACTCGAGCAACTCCACGCAGATTTTCAAGAGACGCACGCCCGTATTATTGGAAGCGGCATCGATTCTAACCACACGTACCTCTCCGCTGAACTGTATTCAGCATTTGATGAAACATACCTCGACATATACTGCGAAATATCAGATCGCCAGGACGAGTTGTTTCCTTTAAAATCCAAAGCACCTATGATGCATATAACAGATTAATTCACACTAATTCCGACTTAAATGAAATACAAAAATTTCATTACCTAAAAAAGGCTCTTCCAGCTGATCACGATATCGACCTGCATCAAATGTCTTTGACTTTGACTAACTACGATACTGCTTGGAAATTGCTCATAAAACTCTATGACAATCCACGAATATTATTCACGCACCACATGAATGCTTTATATATTTAGCCTGCCAACACTACAGAGAGAACATGCAGATGATATAAAATGCATGCTTAATGCTCCAACCGTATGTATCAAGGAACTGAGACGTCTAAAGATATTCGTAGATGACAGCAAATTTTGGGTAGAACATCATCTCGTTACTAGATTTCCAAAGGAAACACATCAAGCGTGGGAGCATCACCTCGGCGATAGGACAACGATCCCAACGTTCAGTGACCTGGGAGCATTCCTCTACACTCGGCTGCACACATTGGACGCCATAGAAAATCGCGCAGAACAACCACCATCTTCAGATGCCATGGCGATCCGACGCCACACCCAAGCGCAAAAGACTAGGCGCCAACAGCAATATGTCCCGAACGTAGGTTCAAAAGTCGTTTCACATTCATACCAAGCCCAGCAATGTTTCAACTAAAGCTAATCACTGCATACTTTGTGGTCAAATGCACATTCTGCGCAGGTGTCCGACGTTTCTCAATTAAGATTGTTTTGAACGAAAGACCTTCGTAGACACAAAAAAAAAATTGTTCAAATTGCCTTAGCCCTTCGTATAGCCTTTGCATACAGTGTGGTAAGCGCCACCACACTTTGTTGCACATTCCAGCTTCTGTACTTCCCAACGCAAAAAGCCAACATTAGCACCGCAAATTACAACATTCAGTGCCTCTACAAGCCAAGCAGCTAACCAAGTGGCAGTTTCATCTGGTTCCCGAGCGAATTTGTCACATGCATTTGCTACCCATTCGGCAACTATCCCGTACGCTCCGCTGTCAGCTAATCTCCAGCCTCAACGGAAGGTGTTATTGGCAACGGCGCTCGTAAAATTACAGAATTTGGAGAACGGAGAGCTCGTTGTAGTAAGGGCTTTGCTTGACCAGGGTTCCGAAGACACTATTATTTCTGAAAACGCAGTTCAAACTCTAGATTTAAAAAAAATTCCAAACGCGACCGAGATTTTTGGGGTGGGCGCTCACACTAAAAATCGATGTCATAGTAGTGTTAGTCTCGTTTTTGGTTACTGCACGAACAGCGACTTTAGTGTACTGGTAGATATGGCATATGAGTTAAACTCTATAACAACGTCTTTATCTGCTGAA